CCAAATTAATTAGATGTAACCTGATGATTAATACATGGTTACTGTAGGATCAATTTCATCTTCCTCCACAGGATCAATTTCATGTTCCTCCACTTCTCAATAGAATCGCTTCTTTCCGACACCTATGGAAAGCCCCAAAACTTTTGAAATATTTGAAGAAAAACCCTCTATAGCTTTTATAAGAAACCTTAAATATGAAATTTTTTCTCTTCTTAATATTGGCTTTTTTTTTTAAGGGAAAATTAAAAATAAGCCCCAAACCTAAACTTTTTATGCAAATTACCCGAACCAATTTTCTTTCTCACTTTTTTTCCAAAATATACATTCTAGCAAATACCCCCCTCCCAAATAAAAAAAAAGTACATTTTTTTTACGAAAATACCCTTTTTAGTACATAAAAATTTAATTTTGGCCTGACATTCACGTGGGCTTACATGGTCTACCGGACTGCACTTTGAAATTGCCGAACCCCTTTAAACTAAAAAAAGTAGCAGATCGCTCTTTGGCAGTGCCAGACTACATGGGCCTATTGTCGGACCGTTCTTTGTTAGTGCCGAACCACCACTTGTACTGCCAGATCGACATTACACTACCAAACAGCCCTAAGAATACGCCGGACTGCCTTTTTGTGGGAAGGAGGAGAGAGAGGCGTGGGTAAAAAGCACAGATGGGTAGTTTAGATTTTTTTTTTTTTTGTGGGTTGGGGGGTATTTGATAAGAAAGTGTATTTGAGGTAAAATGTGAAAAAAAGCTTGGCTAGAGGTAACTTGCATAAAAAGTCTAATATTGAAGGTTATTTATAATTTTCCCTTTTTTAATTTTATTTGCCTACAAAGTAAGCCCCACTCCTCACGGGGTTAGAATACACGGTCATTTCAAAAAGTTCGTCACAAACAGCTCATCAGTTTTTCTATTAAAATTCAAACTTACAAACAACTCATAAAATTTTCCATTACTGTAAGTTATAAAATTTATCAAATCACACCCTTGTGGTTGCTATTGCTGCTACATGGTATCATATAATTTATTTGGAAAAGATTCTTTTGTCGATCATCTCGTCTCTAATATGCGAAATATACGCAAGAGTTACTACATTAATATCTTATACGTTGTAAGGAGAATCTTGACAAAGAGCAACATATCCTTAAGAATCTTTGTAATATTCTATAAAGTGAAAATCTCATCCAAGATATTAAGTATGTTAGAATAAGGAACAAGTGGGAATGTTTCTGTACATCATAGCTCATAACACTGGCAATCGCATAATACAAGAGTGATTTCAATACTCTAGTCAAACAGTTAGTTGGTACTTTGGTCATGTTCTTAAAACTATGTGTACAGTAGCACCTCGCTATATCTGCCTCTCGTTAACAAATACTCCTCCAGAGATCCTCTGTAGTGACAATTACTTCCCCTTCTTCAAGGTACAACTTATATAACATTATTTTCAAAATTATATTCATTATTATTAATATCTCACCAAAATTTTATCTTATGAAGGATTGTATTGGAGCAATTGATGAAACTCACATCCCTGTGACAATCGATGCTGAGAACCATGCCCCATATTGCAATCATAAAGGATTTCTTTCCCATACCATTGTAGCAGCGTATTCATTCAATCATTTATTCATATATGTCTATGTAGGGTGGGAGGGCTCTGCTATTGATTCTACGGTTCTCCTAACAGCTTCCCCAAGGTACTTCTAACTCGTGACTTAATTAATAATGCTTTTGTAAATATTCCACTAATCATTTAGATCTTTCCAAATAGGCTAGGTAAATACTACCTAGTCGATGCTGATTATGCGAATACCCAAAATGTTATTGCCCCATATCGTGGAGTTCGTTACCACCTCAAAAAATATGGGCATGGACAAAATGCTCCGCAAGACTATATGAAGTTATTCAATTTGCGACATTCTTGTCTAAGAAATACCATAGACCGCATATTTGGTGTACTTAAAAAGCGCTTTGCGATGCTTTCAAGACTACCTGCATACCAATTAAAAAAGAAGTCGAGTTAGTTATTGTAATGTATTTCTTATATAATTTTATTCATATACATTCTAAATGTGATGACTAGCTCTATGAGGAAGATAACAAGAAAAATCAAGATCGAGTACATTGACCAGAGGATTTTGAAGAAGAAAGTGCAAGTATTCTACGTGACGTGGATAGTCGATTGCAAGACATCATTGTACATGATATGGGGGTTGATTATTGTTATAGACGAAGGTAGGTTGTTGGTTGGTTGATGATATTATGTTAGGTCATATAGGTTCAATTTTTTTTATATAGAATTATGTATCTTTTTTTTTTTTAGTAACTTCTTCACTATTAGCTTAGTTTGGTATCCCATATTTATATTGATTTTCTAATGCAGCAAGTTTCTTATATGGAATGCCAATAAACTTTCAATTCAAAACAAATGGTCTCCCCCTATCTCTCTCGTATAATCTTAATATCTTACGCATAATAAAGGTTGCATGTCACTTATGATCTCTCTTTCTTGTTCTCTATTGCGTTGTGCTTATGTAAATTATTGGTTTTTATGCATACTTTTATGAAGAGTGCCTATCTTTAATAGCGAGAGAAAATACGTGCTTGTTACAAATCAAATATGTGCTTAATGAAGAAACTTCAATTTATTATGATTTTTTATTTCAAGCAGTTAATTATCTCAAACTTTAAAAAATTCTAAAATACATGTAGATAGTCAAACATGCGCAAAAAGATACATATCATGATATATATAATTCAGATATATGAAAAGCAGTCAATGCCTTTATTTAGATTTTAAAAATTTTGAATATTCTTCAAATCACTGATGGGTGCCTTTACCAGTTCGGTTTAGGACAAAAATTGGATTTGGTAAAATACTGGTCAAAACCAATGTTTGACCAGCATTTATGCGTCCAACCAGCATTTATGCGTCGAACTAGCAATTTTTTATTAGTCAAACTGTCTAAACAAAGTTGGATATTCTTTTTGTAATATATTTTATATTTTTAAATGTAAACTATATTCTTTTTTGTCTTTATGTTTTAAATCTTGCCCAACTAGTTGAGCCGATTTTTACTTGACTAAACCCATTGCTTAATAGAATACTATGTAAAATAATCCAACTTTTATTTTATTTTAATAAAGGAAAAAGTTTATATAAGGTTGAGGCTCTCATCATCATCATTGTCAAAGCCTTTTCCCAATTGATTGGGATCAGCTATATGAATCGTGGTTTGTCATTCTACTCTATTGAGGGTTATACCCTCAAAAAAACCATATGTCACCATATCTTTTCTCTCTACTTGCAATCATATCCTTTTGGCCCTACCCTTTGTATTTTTTTAGCCTTCCACTTGAATGGACTCGCGCATTCTAATAGGTGTTGTATTGGATGTGCGTCACATATGGCCAGCCCACCTAAGTATATTCTCTCTCATCATATCGCATATTGGTATCATATCGAACTTTTTCTGAATGTATTCATTTTGAATTATCCCTTATTGTCTTGCCACTCATTCGTCTCAATATCTTTATCTCAGCTACACTCATTCTATGAGTACATTATTTTTTGACCACCCAATATTCCGCCTCTAGAGCAAAGCTGGTCTTACAATTGTCTTATAGCACTTGCTCTTCAGCTTTATTGGTATGCGGTGATCACATAAATTTCAATTGCACATCTTCACTTCGCCTACCCAAATCTAATTCTATGTTCGACATCTTCCCCAATATCTCCATATTCCTAGATTATCGACCCAAGATATCAAAAAATACTTTTTTTTTTTGTATTTATATATGGTTGAGGACCTTGAGGCTTTGCACAATCAAATTAAGGTGCACCTCAAAAATTCACTAGAAGAGCTTGTTTATAGGTGGAAAAACTTTCAAATCGATCATCTCGGCCTCAAGATGTATACCTGTGAAAAAAGATGGATTTTGAATATGGGAAATAGTGCATTTTCTAAAGCATTATTTGGGGGGTCAATTTTCAAAGTTTTCTAAGTGTTTATAAATCGGTTAGATCTATGCTATTTTTTAAGCTTTAATTTTATAACTAGAGATGAAATAATTTTTAGGCCATCACAAACATTTTTTGCTATTGAAAACTTTGATGGTTTAGAGCCTTGTACAAACCTCACCATTTAATAAATAAGCAATGATCTAATGCAACGGTTGTATCATAGTATCATGCAACGATACTTCTAGAAAACTATGTTTGTGGTATTTGTATGACCCCAAATTTTGCACACACACTCTCTTCATTCAATAATCAATCCCTCCAGAAAAAGTTCAATTTGAACCTTAGATATGATCAAAATGAGTCTCCTCCAAAAAATGAATCTAGACCATTCATTTTGTGAATTTCAAGATCTTAGTCTTTATAAACTCAAAATTATTTTATTCTTTTTTTAACATTGTTCATCTAAAAAAATTAAAAATGAAAAAATCTTTCTAAGGCATAGATCTAAGCATCTAACCAAAATGAACGGCCTATATTAATTAGGCTAAAAAAAATACTTTTTAGGCTGTGTTTTCCAATTTTTATTTTTATAATTGTTCATTAAAATAAAAAGAACATTTATTTCAAAATTTGGATCAAACAAATAACCATAAGATGATTTTTTAAGATGATTACATCATATCACTATACAAAAATTGCATGAAATCATTGCTCTTAATAAAGAGCATTAGGTATAGTTCGTGCATATGTATTGTAATCCTCAGGACCACATTCAACCGGTGGTCAAAGACCCATTAAGACATCTTCGAAATACGGAACCCGTGCTCTGCCTTCTCTCTCTCTCTCTCTCTCTCTCTCT